ATATTTAATGATTTTATAAAAATATTATATAAATTTATAAAAATATTAAATAAAAGTTTAAAAAATATTTTTTAAATATTGTGTGCTGATTGGATATTGGAATGCTTAGAAGTCGGGCACAAAGAGAAAAAACTGCATGCATTAGAAAAAAATAAACGTTGCTTAACTATCTCTTTCTTCTTCATATCTAGCCACAAAATATGCAGTAAAAATTCTAGTATATTACATTATACAGATTTTCGTGCCCATTTCGTTGTATACTGACAATGCATAATATGTACTTTGCTCCATCACACGAATCTATAGTGACAAAGTTATATAATGATGCATTAACGCAAGCTCATTTTTATATGCTTTTATTAGTACTACTATTTGGTCTTTATCCCAAGACATTTTGTCATTTAACATAAATTATAAGTTAATTGATCGAATTGATTTATTATACATACGACAACAATAATTACAAACTGAAGAAGAGAATAGGGAAGACATAGTCTGTATATCATATACACATGACACCAATCAATCACGTAACTATTTCTAATATTTGATTGATAAGTGTAAACGCGAGGTATGAAATAATATATCATATCAAACATAGAAGAATAAATAGCATATTTCGCTTAATGCATGGAGATTTAGCAGGATTGGAAAATAACTACTTACTTGTAACTAAGTTACTTACAGTTACAGTATTTTTTTTCAGTAGCTGTAACTTAATTTAGTTTCTTTAATTTAGTTTCTTTTTTCTATATATAATTGTAATTTAATATAATTTATATAATTATATCATTGTAATTTAATTACTTACATTTCTTCCACTAACTAGTAACTAACTAGTAACTAGTAATTTAATAGGTACTTTTACAGTTACTTTACATTTTAAACTTATTTGTCTATTTAATGTGATTGGTTAAAATTTGAATACTGATTGAGGATACAGTTCACTACAAATGCTACAAAGTATTTTTTGATTGGTCAATAAATTGTAAATGTAAATTATTTTTTTCTTTGATCTGATCTTTTCTTTGAGTCTTAATAATATATCACTCATATTGTTCTGTCATGATAACAGAAAAGTAATTGAAAAGTTACTTTTTTAACTATACCGATATTAATTTTTAGTCTCAGTAACTTGAAACTGTAACTAGTTATTTTTTACAAAGTAACTTTCCCCAATCCTGGTATCTAGCATGCATCAGAGAGGATGTACTTGCACACATTGGCGAATTCCTAATATTTTTTTACTGTTTTACTAATGAGATTATATTATTTTAAATTAATTAGGGATGTAGGCAAATGATATATACCTGCAGCAGAACAGGCATAGCACATGTAGGCCCATTATGTAGAAAATCATGCGCTTTCATTGTGCTCAGCTTAACAGAGCAACCGAACTTGTTTTTCAAAAAAACGTGCATTTTCTTAAAAACGTTCCAGATAAAAGTTATAGGATTTTGACACACTAAATAGCAGGGAAGTAACGCTGTTACCGTTGTCATTATTTTCTTTCAATGAATGAATAATTTAATAACAATGTTACATTTCTTCAGGATTAGGTAAGTTAAATTTTTTTTAAATTAAATTAAGTTAATGAATTATAAAATTAATGGAATTAAGTTAAAAGTTGGAATAAAAACTTAATGAAAGTTAAGTTAAGTTATGATGAAATTAACTTAAGTTTAAAAAAAAGTTAATTTAAAAAAAATTATTTTTGAGATCAGAATGTTCTAATTTTTCTTAAAATGAGATTAATTAAATAAATACATTTACAATATAGATTATTAGATAAATTTAAAATTTTTTTTTATTCACATGTAAGTTACTTATACATATATAATAAGAGTCACAGTATAAAGTGTTTTTGCTAAAATCTTACAAGAAAGAAGGTATTTACATTATCTCTCTTTCTTTAATCTTTATCTAACTTTTTTTCGTCTGAAACAACTGCTCACACATGTTTACAATTACATTGACTAGATACTTATTATAAAAAATATACATAAAAATTTGGAAAATGGATGGATGCAGCACTGTTTTACAACAATTCTTTATCTAAGACTCATTTCATATTTATGTTGCTGAAATATAACGTATATTACGACACTAAAATTAGTGTAATTCAAATATAAATAAGTGGGAATTGACAAAACCTATAATAATGAGCCAATAAAAATTACCGTATAGTGTGATTCTTATCATAGAGTTAAAGATATCTCTAACCATAAAATGTTGAACTTTTTTTAAATTAATTTTCTAATTTTTAAAATTTTATAGAAAAAAATATTAGTTTTAAAAGAAATATTGGGTTGTCCGGAAAGTTCATGCCGATGTTGAAGGAAAATTGAAACGTAGAAGATTTAAATTTTAGTATACATTTATTAAATTATATAGATTAGTCGGCACGAACTTTCCGGACAACCCAATAGAAAAATTTTTAATTTAAAAAAAATTAATAAATTGAAGTTTAAGAAAGTAACTAAATTAAGTTAAAAATTGATGAATTTAAAATTAATTAAGTTAAAAGTGATTAACTTTTTAACTTATTTTTAACTTTGAACATTTTTAACTAGTTACTACCCAACTCTGCCTTTCTTTATAAGTGACATTAATGATAACGTAGTTACATATTTTAAATAACGGTAATGATTTGACTCATTACTTTCATCATTATTATATTTCTAGCGTACATGTTAGGACCGTGTGAGGACGTAAGTTCTTTTTAGTTGAATTTTTTGACATGCGCTTTCGCATCTTGTGTGCAAGAGTTAAAAGTTCTAGATATAACTCGTGCAAAGTCTGTATAGGCGTTGAGCATATTCTCTTCACTACATATGATAAAATAAATTGACTTATTTATAAAATTATGTATGTGTTTAATATTATACAAATATATTAAATATACATATATATGTACATTTGTTATAATAGTTTATGAGCCTTATTTTTTTATTAAAAAATAAATTTTTAGCGTTTTCTTATATATATATATATA